TGAACCGCTTCTGTTCCAAATCCTAAATTGTTATTATTTCATGTTTTTTCCCCATGCATTACAATTGGAAGTTTCAAATGGAAATGCTATATGGAACACCTTTTCCCGTCACGCCAGGTTTTGAAAATGGTTTCAAGAGCTCATATGGGACAATCCCAGCTCCATTTCTGTTCTTCAACTCGGTATTTTCGTTCCTCGAATCAATGATCAGTTCTAGCACCTTCAAACTTTTATTGAACCGCTCAAAGGCTTCCTTTATTACAGGATCATCAGCCCATGCCTGCTCTATCTTCTCACCAAGATACTCCTCGTCGGGAGAATGGTTCGACAATATGTCTAAAACTGCCATCACCCTCGTCGCTTGAAGCTGCGAGGGGAAGCATTTCAAAAGTGCAGATTCAGGTTTCTTAATAAACTTTTGCCACTCCTCATCAGTGGGATCTTCGGTCGGCATGTTAGACCTGGCAATCGTAGGCCGGTTCGGGAAGTAACCTGCATAAGCATACTGACCAAAGTTCACGGCTGCATGGTAACCTGATGTCACCCACACAATTGTAGTTATGATTTCAATAAGGTCTTTGGGAGTTTTGAGGACTGGCCACCACGGCTCGTCCTTCTTGTCTGCGTGGCCAACCGTTCGGATTTCGGTCCACCAAGCTTGGAGCTCTTGATCAGATTCTACAAGTTTTGAATCTGGGTAGTAGTGATTGACATAGTCAGTGATCCATTTTTTGATGCAGTCCCACATCATGAGTCCATCATTTGCATAAGGATAGTCTTTAATTGTGAGCTTTAGCCCGTGTGGAGCATTAGGATCCTCAACAGCCATTCCCCTGCAGCCAAAGTTGCGAAATTGAATAATTACTACTTGTAATTTTCTTCCTAGCAAGTTACAATTTTTTTCATGTTATGTGAATATTAATAATAATGGTCACATTTCATCAAAATTATAACCTGTTAATGAGATCTGCAGGCAATGCTTGTAAATCGAATTGCCACTCAAGGCCATAGGCGGCCGAGCTAAGCTCAACCGAGTACTTCCCGGGTGTAAACGCAGTCTCAATGGTGCCATCTGCGTTGATGAGGGCTTCTCTAGCCAGAGCATTGATCTCCATTGTATACCGAAAATGAGGATGCAACAGTCTGTATATTGGGTGCATCACACTAAGTTGCCTATTTGTGGCAATTACATAAGGTTCTGCAACACAGTGTGTCCTCAGCCTGTAATTAATTAAGAAACCAATATTTAAAGAGATTCTCAATCTTAAAAAAATAAAAATAAATAAAAAAATTCCAGGGCTAATTAAAGAAATTAATTAAGTTAAAACAACACATTATATATACCAGTGACTAACAAGTTGGTGATAGCCTGAATCATGGGCAAGAACATGAGCTTTAGCAATCCTCCATAGCCAAACTCCTGTGGAATGCCAACAAGGTGTGAATACTTGCCTCCACAGGGGCTTGTCCTTATGCGGCGGCCGCGTAAGCTCTATAGCCAATGGCCTTAATGTGCCATCTGGGTTTAGGAAAAAGACTGTCCTTGATCCATATAGTGTTGTGCCCTTAAGCTCTCTTACTTTGTGAACAAACGGTATGAGAAGGTCATGGTAATCTAATGTGAACAGCTTCTTCTTCTTAATTGCCTACATTAATGCACACATTGATGTGAGAGATTTTTTTTTTTCAAATTATTTTTTATAATGTATGTATTCAACTTATTTTAACGTTGCTAGTGCAGCCACTCTGATAGTCATGATGTACTAATTACCTCATCGACGCTCATGATTCCACCAATCTCTTGCTTTATCATCTCTTCTGTGATTGCTGATTCTTCTGGACCGTATATCAAGGGGTCAAGTTTGCTCTTTATTGGCCATTCCTGTATGATATTTATATAGAATATGAGCAGCATATAGTAAACCATTTTAAAGGGAAAAAAAACTATCTAGTAACTTAATGTATGCAAAGCAGCAAAATTAACGTTGACATTTCTAGAAATTCGCCGGAAAAAAAAACCTTAGCGCTTAACGCAACATTAAGCCATATAATCTCTGAATACACACACACACACACACAAATATATACATATGTATATTTGTGTAATATGGATACAGATAAGCATTAGCTAATTTTTAAATCTTTTTGTTTAATAATTCTCTCTTTCATTATCTATTAATGTTAGATAGGACGTGTCGGGCTAATATAATTTTATTTCATTTCATGTAAATTCATTTAAATTATTTATGCAACTTAATCAAGCATGTAAGTTTACGCACCTAGTTGCAGTCATAACCTAATTATACTTCCAAAAAATACGCCCACGTACCGTGATCAATCGTAAACTACAAGGATTGAGCCCAGAAAGAGTCTGCCTTGCAAATTCCTCGTCCCTAAACCAGAAAAACTTATCTCCTGCATACAATTCAGTATTCACCATGTAACAATAATAGTCAAAAAAACATAGATACATTATAGAGGTATCTATATCTGTATAATATGCATGTGTTAATTTCTTATTGTCGTACGTACTGTTGACTGTTTCAGGAGCCTCAAAACGCAAGACGCCTTTTCCAGAATCCTTGAGGGTTTTGACAACGCGAGGCATGACTCTTTGCAGAAAGCCTTCGGTGCCAATGGGAGGCAGGTCAACTCCTTGGCTGAAGAGAGCGTCAATGGCGGTGAAGTAAGGAAACCCAAGGTCTCTGTCGACCATGACGGTCGCAAGAGAAGGTGACAATGCGTGCAACACGGAATATAAAGTCTTGGCGGAAAATGTTAACTGCTTTATCTCCGAGAAGCATTCGTCTCGTGGTACATAAAAACTTCTACTCCTTTTCTCCGACGATGGATCTGCATGCATGCGTGCATGTACATATATATATTATTGTCACATGTTTTGTTAATTTGTTCTCCACAGTTATATCTGAGTTGATCTCTTTTTGTTTTTTTTTTTTTTTTCCTCCTGGTTTAGTTTTATCTGGCTAATTATTCTTTTAGAATAAATTTATGACTAGTTCCAAACTTTTTTCATCTTGCTAAAATTAGTTCTTATAATCAATTTTATCGTATTTATACAATAGGTGAATTATATACTATAACTATATTTATTATGCATAGGGTTAGTTTTTTAAAATTTGATGACGTGAAAGTTAGTATTAGAACGACAGCTAATTAATGGGATAAGAAATTAGAAACAAATATATTTGAACTCGTCTTTTACATTCTTGGACCTTGTTTAAATTCAAGCCCTAGCTCAACACCCATATCTTACCGATCAGTCTAAAAAGCCCTAAGTCTAAAAAATAAATAAAGAGAAAAAGAGACAAATACTCCTTAGAAGTATGGTTCTTTGATTTTTACCCCTTACACTTGATTAATACTCTTTAGTTAGTCAAAAGGGTATTAATCAGGAGTAAATGATAAAAATCTTAGAACAATGCATTAAAAGGTGAATTTACTAATTTTCTCATAAATTAAAATTTGTAATCTGGTGAGACGTGACCAGAAATTTAACTTTGTGAAAGCTTGAAAGCTTGAACTTGAACCATAAAAAGCTTTGAACTTTGGCAAGACGATTTACATGTCTATTTTTGTAGATACAATTAGAAAAATAAAAAATAGAGGGTACGAAAAAGATAAACTATTTAGAATATTTCTAAATTATTAAATCTCGAATAAAAAATAACTTTTTTTATTTATGAAATTGATTAATGATATGTTCCTGAAAAGAATAGTAAGAACAAAAATTTTCCTTTCATATGAACTGTCAAGCAAATTTATAGTTTGTCGTAATAAATTTGTCTCGCTTCAGGACTGGGACCATATTCAAGCATGAAATAGCCGAATCTAATTAAATTCTAGCTACGTGCACCTTCAAATATTAGAGAAAAAGTGACTACTCATGAAAGTAAAGACAGTTTGAAAGCAAAGCAAATATTTGCAGCCTTAATTTACAGCCAGAAACACTCTTGAATAATGACAAACTGTCTAAGATGCAAACCTTATCTAAGTACGTTGGGCCAAATGTTTTGCTCTCATCGATTTAGAATTCAAAGACTTTTCTTATCTTAATAGGACCACGTGAATACAAAATAAGAAAAAGCCAAGGAACGACAAAACTGTTGCTACATTATTGAAGAAATGAGAAAAATGATTGAGTTAGACTTTTTATTAATTAAGATGAACAGTTTATTTAAAAATTTTGAAAGTGAAACCATTCCCCCCCACACCCACATGATTTCAAGAACATGATAAGACCGATTAATTTGTTATGTGACAGTACATAAGGAGAGATTGCAGGAACGAATCTCTCAAAAAGTAATGTGATATATAACTAAATAAAAATCTAGAAGCTATACTTGTCCAAATTAAGAAAAAAGAAATGAGGGGTTTAATTTTTTTTTTTAGTTTAATTATTAGGAATTTAATGGTTGTGTTGTCTTGACATCCATTGAAACATGAAAATGATATATATATATATATATATATATATATATACACACACATATATACCTATATGTCAATATTGTATATAGGGAGCTGATCACCTGATTCAGAACGTGGGCGTCCAGTCCTGCAGCGGCGAGGATATGGGCGGTCTTTGCAGCCGAGAACAGGTCTTTGGAGGTCCCAATTTTTATCAGGGTCACCAATATCGTTGTATACATCATAATCGTATATCCTCTCAAAATGTTTGCGCTGTCCTTCCCCATCACCTCGCAAATTTGCAAGTTCTTCTTCTCTTAGTCTTCTCAATCCACTTGGTGTTTGTGATGGCAAATATGACTGCGCATGCTCCGCAAAATTTGCAATACATGACCAAACTCAAACTTACGAAACAGTAATAATTTGGACATTTCTAATTTGGACAGTAAAAATTAAATAAAAATGGAGAGTAGTGTAACACGCCGTATAAACTTTTGAGTTCAAAACTAACTCTAAGATCTTAAAAACTGTTATGTGCTACATGCTAAATTTAATTTTGACAAGACAAAGTCAACATATATTCAAGCGTACACATGTGCTGCTTTAATTAATTTAATTAGCGGCATAATTAGTTACGTTAATTAGGTTTTAAAAAATAGTATTCCTCTTGTCTATTAATCCCAGAGAGTTAGTTATTTAAAAATAAATTAATTAAAGTATCTTATATGCATATATGTATATATGTATGTGTGTCTATATATATATATGTGTGTGTGTGTGTGTGTGTGTGTGTATAACATACCTTGGAGGTGAAAAAAAGTCGTTTCTCTGGATTGTCAAACTTAGAGTGCACCCATGAACAGCAGATGACGGTCACAGGGCCATCAGGGAGGCCATCGAGGACTATATCCGTGAGATACATCTCCTTGTGGTGCTCATTCTCTACTAAAACTGCTCCAATCTCTCCAAAATCAATTGGAACTTCAAAACTTGTCTCATACTTTATCCCTTCTTCTTTTTTTCCTATCTTGTGGGCATATGCTTCAACTGTCTCCTTCTCTAGTCCCGTTTCTACAAAATTAATATTTAGAAAGAGTAGGTACAACTGGTGAATGGAATTCACAACCTCAAAAATTTAGAATTAATTTTTTTTAGGGAAAAATTTAGAATTAATAATCTTTCAATTAAAACTTAATTGAATTTTCAGGGTAAGAGTCTAAGAAATTGTTGAATCGTAACTATGTATTTATCACAAAACTAAAGCAATGACTTGGAGACAAAGTTATTAAAGGCAACTCAAAAAATTTTGTACTTTAAGGCCTCGTTCACTTCGTGGATTCGAGTTTTCAATTCGAGCTGAGATGTGATATTTTCTGAGAGCTTTTCACTGTAGCAGAAAAAGTTAGATGTGATATTTTCTGAGAGCTTTTTACTGTAGAAACCTAAAACTGAAAACTCGAATCGGTGAAATGAACAAGGTAAGAGACAATTAAATCTTGTCTATAATAACCCTTGATTGAAAAAAATAAAAAATAATCCTACGAAAATATTTTTATTTCTAAAAGTTGAAATCTAAAACTTTATTTTTTTTTCTCTTGGGGAGTCGATAAAGAATAGAAGATAAATATATATATATATATATGATTACTAGCTGGGGGGGAAAAAGAAAGAGACACAGGAATCACGAATTAAAAATTAAAAAGGTACATCTAAAAAGAAAAGAAGGTGAAGAAGAAGAAAAAATATGTAGAAAACTAAATATAACAAACTTGTGTATATGTTAAATACTAGAATTAAATGTTTCAAAAAAAATCTCAAAAATTAAATAATATCTATATGGCATTAAATTATAATTAATAAGGATTAGCTTACTGGGATCAAGCTCGGCACTAACAAGCTCCAGCAGGAGCGATTTGCCAAGCAAGTCCTGAATGTCATCAAGGCCTCTGTCTATCCCAAGGTTTTTGAAGAACCCTGTTACCGTTGGCTGCACTGTCACCACTGCCTTAACGGTAATTGTTTCGGTTTCTATTTGACGATCAGACGTCGTAGGCTCTTCATTATATTGATCAGTACTAGTACTACTTGCAACGGCTTTTATGGTGCCGGCGGGACTGAAGCGAATCCGACCGGTTTCGTGTCTTTTCGGTAACGAATTAGGCCTTGAAAGGACAAAGGGTTTTCGCAGTAAATAATGGAAGGGGATTTGGGTAGAGTTTGATGAGTTTCCAACTTGATAACAAGGCTTCAACATCATGATGTTCTCTCTGTGTGTGGTGCTCGTGAAAGATGCTTATTTGCAAGTGATAGTAGTGAAGTAGTACTAGTTATACATGCAAAAGTATGGTACATATATATATATATATGATATATATGTATATATCGGCTAGTCTACAATCGTATATGTTGTGTGGGAAAATATGACGGATACATGGACGAACGATAATGCGACACGTGGCCTTGACTACTCCCCACCAAGTAAAAACCCTCGACGTCTACAGACCCCTCTTATTCCGCTGGAAAGCCCAAAGCACGAAGTCCAAATTAGGTCGACGATCCCTTATGGCGTCGACAGATCGCGCCGTCAAGATTGAGGCACGAAGATCCCTCGACTGCAGAAAGGACTGCCAAAGAGGGCGATTGGGCTAAGCAGCGTTGACGATGAGGGGAACGTTCCTTAGAGGACGTGACAGGTTGCGTGCAAAAGTGGAAGACGTCTATAGACATTAATTGCAAGCTCTCAAACAGCCCCACAGGGGACAGAAAAGTATTACGGAGAAGCACAGAGTCGTAATAGGAGACTAATTGGCTAGTGAACAGTGATGATTAGTGTGCTACGTTTGGGCCTACCAAGGAAGAGCACTTGAGTGCCTCCACCTATGAAGGAAACCCCCTAAGCGAAGGAAGCCCAGTATAAAAAGGAGGAAGACCCCCAGTAAGGAAGGGGTTCAGAAATTTC